AACTCAAAAAAATTAGGTTACACTACATTAGACATGCACTAGGCAGCCTAATACCGAAACCACATTCACCTATTTTTAAATTTTACATGTAATACTAGACCTTTCAACATGATCTATTTCTAAATTTTAGAGAGTAATTCAATAGTGGAGAGTGGAGAAATCCCAAATAATCAATTGCTAGCACTAGCAATATTGCTGCAACTTCAATATATGGGATCCTAGATTTTAAGTTGGCACGAAATTTATGGGTGGTTAGTGGTCACCTAAGGTGCACCCCAACCAAGTTCTAAATGGGTGTATGGTATCTTGGGAATAGACAATGGATTAAATCCATAGGGGGTTTGATTTTGCAAACTAATGTTATAATAAACTCATACATAAGTTATTTTATACTTAACTGATAATACTTAATCTTCTAGGTTTATATTGATAATACCTAAGTGACTAAGGTTGTTATTCTCCAACAAGGTTGAATCGAATAGATTGCTCATTTAGGAGATCTTCGTTATTGTTCATGAGTGATGGTGCATGATACAAGCAAGTACGTTGTTGTGTTTATCTGCAAGTTGTGGCATATGTTGTGGTATGTTGATGTGGTTTTCCATGGATATCTTTGTGGTGGGATTGTATGTTGATGTTGTGATCTTGGAGGCTCAATGTTGTATGTTGTTTTCTTTATATGTCCTACCATGCTTTGTATATCTATGTTGTTTTATATTAAATTTCCCATGTTTTTGTGTTGTCTATAATGATCATGTTCTGACATGGAGAACATACATTGTATAATTGGAGGATCACTAGTGCAAAATTTGGATTTAAAATCGGACTTTTAAGATCGGTTATAAGGTAACCGATCTTAAAAGTGACGCGGTGGAAAATTTGTAAATAACATGAACACTTTTAAGATCGGTTAAATTTTAACCGATCTTAAAAGTACTTTTAAGATCGGTTATCAAATAACCGATCTTAAAAATTGCACTTTTAAGCGGTTCTTCAGTAACCGATTTTAAAAGTATCGTCAGAAATCTTTTATATTCCCCTCCATTCTCATTCTCTTTAATCTTTCCCTCCATTCTTTTTTTTAATCTGTGACGCTCTCATTTTCTAAAGTCTCCAATAAGGTAAATTTCGTTGTCATTTTTGTTTCATTTTCGTCTTCTCATATTCTTGTTGTGTTTCTTTTCGTTTTTTCATGCTTTTCTCGTCTCTATTTTCGTTGTTGGCTTAGCTTGGCTAAATTTCGGACCTAGAACGACCCGTTGTGCAAGGAGAACGGGCCGTTCTCCCTTGAGTACGGGCCGTTCTCCCTTGAGTACAGGCCGTTCTCCATTGGGAACAGGTCGTGCTCCCTGGAGAACGGCTGGTACTCAAGGGAGAACGGGCCGTTCTCCAATGGGAACGGGCCGTACTGATAATTAACACCTAGTAATCTTGAATTTAGGAAGTCCCAGTCTCGCCCATTGTGTTCATCAGATGTATCTTGCGTGGCTTAGCTATCCCGACGAGACTCTGGTAGTATGTCTTTCTAGTGAGAGTGCGTAGAGGGTGTGACCCGGCATGTACTCCTAGACTACTCTTCGTGTATTGCTAGCGGCAATATGCCATGTGATGTTTTACTGGCGCCACATGCATGATAAAATGTAGTCCGTGTCCATACATGTGCATTTTAATGTTATATGAAAAATTGATATGTCTTGGATGAGTGAGATATGATATTACTATTAATTTATCTATGTTATACTTGTTTTTGTTTGTGTTTGGCTATTTGGCATATATTTCTACACTGTGAGTCAGAGTGAGATGTTTCTCACTCCCTTTTCTCTTGTGTTGTTTTCTCTAACTGTCATACAGGTTATTATCAGCATGAGGCTGAGGATGTTGGTGATGAAGCTTAGGCTTCTATGTTGGGCTAAAAAAGCTTTGGTACATATAGAAATGGGGAGAGTCTGTAGGCTTCCCCATATACACGCCCTCATCGGCCTGACAAGGCTCAAGCCGAATCATATGGGAGATAGAAGGGTCGCAAACCCTACATGACCTGGAGATCCTATTGACCTCTAGAAAGGTCCGAAACACGCTTTGGACCCTCGCCATCTCGCTCTTGACCCAGTCGTATCCAGGAATTCCTGGCTCCGGGCCCCGGGGCGAATCCCTCTTTTCGGCGGTGGCCTTCCCGGTAGCCATCGCCTTGCCCCGAGAAGGCGCAGAAGGGCCGGCACCACTTCCCCCAGCCATTGAAAAGACAAGAAAAACCGGGAAGAAAAGAAAATAAGACAGTAAAAAGGAAGTACCTGGTACTCCTCTTCAAAAAATAACCCTAACAACGAAGGGGTTACCGAAAACGGCGACTGAAACGGAGAAAACGGAGACGGAGGGTGGACGAAAACAAGAGAAGCGGCATACGCAAGAAGTTGAAAGAAGAGTAAAATGAAGAAGGCAAAGAGGCACGAGTGAGAGAAAAGAAAGTCTTCACCCAACAATTCAAAACGGTCGCGCCACGTGTCAACTCAAGGGCACGCCTGACAGCACAATTAATTGCAAATTCATCATTGCATAACCGTCATTTCCCGTGGCACGTCACTTGCGCGTTCCTGGGGAATGAACGGCCGCGACACATGTGAAAAGCCACTTTCCCCAACAAGCCCGGCATTAACTCCTCGACCAACGGTCTTCGGAGCTCGGGGGGCTAGTGTACTGTCCGTACCGCGAAACTGAGCTCCAAGCTCGGCATCACAGTGCAAGATGATCTCGGGCACGCGTCATACGGCGTCAGCTCGACATTCAGGTGAATCACAACTGATTCCCGAGAATCTCACCCATACGAGATCCATTATCTAATCACGGATTACCGAAGATCTCGCCCCAGACGAGATCCGCTATCATATCTTATCTCAGGCCCAGAGCCCAAAGCAACCCTAATTCACTCCAAGGTACATGCATTACTTATATGAGACTATGACTCATACAAACCCTAACTTTGGCATCGGAGTCTCTTTTGCAGGTACCACCCCCATCTTGGAGCACCAGTGTACCAGCGAAGGAGGCTCACCGACCTTACTCGGAAGATCGTCCACACGACAAATTCCGGTAAGAACACCTAGTAATCTTGAATTTAGGAAGTCCCAGTCTCGCCCATTGTGTTCATCAGATGTATCTTGCGTGGCTTAGCTATCCCGACGAGACTCTGGTAGTATGTCTTTCTAGTGAGAGTGCGTAGAGGGTGTGACCCGGCATGTACTCCTAGACTACTCTTCGTGTATTGCTAGCGGCAATATGCCATGTGATATGTTACTGGCGCCACATGCATGATAAAATGTAGTCCGTGTCCATACATGTGCATTTTAATGTTATATGAAAAATTGATATGTCTTGGATGAGTGAGATATGATATTACTATTAATTTATCTATGTTATACTTGTTTTATTTGTGTTACTAGTGGATGGATAATTTAGAGCTATTGTAGTCATCCATTTCTAATGGATGGTGGAAGTTAAAGACATATGATCTTTTGACTTGATGTTTTGTATTGTGAGATTAACTTGATTGTTTAGTTATTTTTGGTGTATATAGATTTATATATTCTAAGACTATAATCTCATAAGAAAATTGTATTTTATTGCTTCAGTAGCTAGGGATTACTTTAGATTCCAATTAATGACTGAGATTATGAGTATATACATATTGTACACATGGATGATGTTTAGATTTTTGTTGCATATAAACCTATGATAAATGATTTATTTTTCTATTATGTTATTTACTGTTGATGGGTAATTTGTGCCGATTTTTACCTGTTGGACCATTAATTACAAGTTTATTATATGACGTGTTGTGTCACACAAGGTGGTTACATTCTTCGTGACAAAGTTAGCCCTTACATAATTAAGTAGACATAATTTGTGTGACTAAGTCGGTTTATGACCGACATTAGTATCTTGCTTTGGTTTTGTCGGTTTGTAGAGTGGCTTGGAATTATGCTACACTACATTGGTGTAGTTGATACCATATCTATATTTCTTAAACTGTAATTACTTTCGAAACAGTAGTCTCCAAATTGGGATGAAGCAAAACTAGTGTCTTATAGGATTAAGCATATAAGTTTAATTTTGTTTTGTGGAATCTTCATCCTTCTTTGCCGTGAGACAATTTTGCCATCTTTGACGAATAGACCATGGTACAATTAGAACATTCTTTAAAGTTGCTAAATCAAGTTGGGAATCACACTCCACCCACAAATTATGCCATTCATATATCATAAGCAAATTCAGTGACCAACATAGTCATAATCAATTCAGCATATAAAACATCCTTAATGCTAATAAAACCACAAAACCCACCCAAGAAAAACTTCATTATGATCATAAAAAAGATCATCACAAGCAACAAATTCAGGAGAGCCTCTAGTACCACCATTTGAATTACACTTCACAAAACCCTAGGCTAAAGGGTTTCAATCAACTTGTTTAACTAGTATAGAGGTTTTTGAGATTGGATAGAGACTAGAAATTGTTTCAATATGCGAATATCATTTCAATAATGTGAAATATGCCCTTTCGCAAGAGAGCTAGACATTTTCACTGCAAGATTCACTACTACAAAACACGCTATCTACATCGGTTCTTTAACATCATCTACATCGGTTATAAAACCGATGTAGAAGAAGGAGACGTAGTAAATGTATATAAATCTACATCGGTTATATTATAACCGATGTAAATCTATACCCCTCTAGCTGCCACCGAGAACTGCGTCGTCGCCGTCACCGCCTTCCAATTGTCCCTCTATCTGCTCCGCCTTCGGATCCACCTCCACCATCATCCTCCAAGCCAACACCACTCTCCAAAGCCCCAACAACACCTTCCAATTGCCCCGCTATCTGCTTCGCCTTCGGATCCACCACCATCATCCTCCAAGCCAACACCACTCTCCAAAGCCCCAACAACACCTTCCAATTGGGCCTCTTCACCTTCTCCCTATCCCCATCCCCAGGCCCATCCAACTACGACCTCGCCATCTGTGGTGGTGGTGGTGGCGGCGCAGAAGAAGAAGACAGCGAAGGCAAAAGATTGTAACAGTTGCGAGCCAAGAAGATGCAATTGACGCGGTGCAGGATCTCGGCGTTGGGGTCTCTCTCGAGCATGACGTCGGAGACGGTGACCTGCACGGCGCCCTTGTAGCATCCGAGCCTGCCTCTGACTCGACCCACGAAGCCGAGCGTGAGGAGGGCGGCGAAGTGCTCGGCGAGGTCGTGGCGGTGGTGGCGGGTGACGGAGGGGGAGTGGCGGTTGTTGAGCCAGGGCAGGCAGGGGACGCAGCCGGTGCCGTCGTCGATAGCGAAGCAGAGAAAGAGGCCGGGCTTGAGGTCGCGGAGGGTAACGGAGCCGAGGGTTTCGACGCGTGAGAGAGGGATTCCTCTGCGGGAGAAGGAGGGAGATTGGGTGAGAGAGAGGAGATCGAAGGCGAGGAGTTTCACGTGCGTGTTACACCATCCGCCACACCTCCCTCCCTAGCCCAAACACAATCTGGGTCGCAGGCGCCGCAGAGGAAGTTGAAGGGAACAAGGAAGTTGAGGAAGGAAAGGGAGAGGATTAGGGTTTTCACGGGGTGCTATACTACATCGGTTATATTGAAAACCGATGTAGATATACTTTAAATATTTACAAAATTGCCACCGCGCATTTAAATTTACATCGGTTTTGTACATAACCGATGTAAATTTGCTTTCATATTTACGAATATGCCACTGCATGCAATTTTTACATCGGTTCTACCTAAACCGATGTAGAATTAACGATGTAGAATACTCACTTTCTAGTAGTGATTATCATGGAATAGATTGGTTGAAATTAAAATCTCTATTTCTGAAGCGAACACCGTTTCTTCTAAGCCAGATAAGGCAAACAACATATGAACCAAAGCAGATTTCAACACCTCCCAAACTTGAGAACTCCTATTCCTATCCAGAAAGCTCAACAAACCTTGAGTAAACACCAAATCAATAGGGTGCTGAATAATATTCTGAAGCCACATCCATAAAGATTGGCAAAAGGACAATGACACTAGTGCAAAAATAGGCTACTACGTCACCTAATTTACGTTAGCAAAACGAAAATACGACGTTATAAAAACGCGGTGACAGTTTCGTAAATAAAGAGTCACTAATTTACGTCGGACCTCCCCCCTGTCCGACGTAAATTAGTGATTATATGCCCCAACGTTTCACTCTCTTCCCGCGTGCGCCTTGTTTGCAAAAACTGTCTAAGTTTCTCTCGTTCGTTCTCTCGTTCGTTTGTTTGCATATTCGACGTTTCTCTAAGTCTCTTAGAGCTACACATTCAACGTTTGAGGTAAGTTTCATGTACGCATTATTTTTTAAATTTTCTGTTAGATGTTCATCTGGAACGGCCCGTTCTGCAACTAGAACAGGCCATTTTTTTTGAATTTTTTATTTGTTAATTGTTGATCTGGAACGACCCGTTCTGATTTCCGAATGGGCCGTTCCAGATGCATTAAATAAGGACTTTTTAGGCATTGACCTTTAGTTTACCATCGTATTAGTAGAAATATTTATTGATTTTATCCGAAATTACTATCAATTTTTAGGGTTGTAGTTTAGGTTAGAAAAATTATGAATAACTGAGTCAATAGTAAATTTGTGTTAATATATAGATAATGAATCGAAGTTGGATGAATGCAAGTCGCATTAGTCAAGAGTACAGAAATGGAGTTGAAGAGTTCTTGCAATTTGCAATTTGGTAAGGGTACTCGAAATTTAAAGATTAGAACTGTGAGTCGAACAGAAGTTGACCAACACTAGTACACAAAGGATCTTTTACGTCGCATATTTTGAGCCTTTTACGTCGGAAAAGGCTCCGACATTAATACGGGAGACGTAAATTTACGTCAGCTGTGAAAGACGACGTAAATTTACGTCAGAGATTTACCCGGCCCGACGTAAAAAGGGACCAAAAAAGGGCAAAAAACATGCCAGAATTTACGTTGGACAAGACCATGTCTGACGTAAATTTACGTTGGACATGGTCTTGTCCGACGTAAATTCTGGCATTTTTTTTTTAAAATGCTTATTGTTTTTTTATATACCCAACACCTGCATATATATATAGTCTAGAATATCAATATTCCTACACTGTGAGCCGAGTGAGATGTTTCTCACTCCCTTTTCTTTGTGTTGCTTTCCTTTGACCGTTATACAGGTGATTATCAGCATGAGGTTGAGGATGTTGGTGATGAAGCTTAGGCTTCTATGTGGGCTTTGCTCTAATAGGACATGTGATATCAGGGCATAGATAATATTAGATTAGGGTGTTATTTCTATTAAATTATTTTGGAAGCTTTAGTTTTATTTCTTTGTAATTTTTGCTGATTATGTTATTTGTTTAAGTTATGGATGTGGTGCTCTCTATCTAAACATATTTGGTATTTTTAATAATGGGCTGCCTCCGAGGCCGTCACCTTCAGGTTACCCAAACCGTGAAACCTAGACGGTTTGGGACACCAGTAAAAAGGAAATTTCGGCAAGCCGCCGAAGTGGAACACCTCGTCCTCCAGGGGGTCAATACCCACAAGGGCAACCCGGAAGAACTCCTGTTTGAAGTTTTTATATGATTGGGAGTAGAGAGTAAACAAACCCCCATCCCTACTCCCATTCAAGGACAAAATACCATAAGGCGGAGCGCCCGCCTTCAGTTGATAAAAATGAAGAAAGACGCGAAGGGACACCTCTATCCCCAGAACCGCACACAGGACCTGAAAAGCCCTCAAAAAACCCCAACTGTTGGGATGCAACTGGCAAGGAGCCGCGTTGATAAAATTCAAAAAATCGCACTCGAACTGAGTGAAGGGAAGACAGACACCTAAATCCCTAAAAAAGCTTTGGTACATATAGAAATGGGGAGAGTCTGTAGGCTTCCCCATATACACGCCCTCATCGGCCTGACAAGGCTCAAGCCGAATCATATGGGAGATAGAAGGGTCGCAAACCCTACATGACCTGGAGATCCTATTGACCTCTAGAAAGGTCCGAAACACGCTTTGGACCCTCGCCATCTCGCTCTTGACCCAGTCGTATCCAGGAATTCCTGGCTCCGGGCCCCGGGGCGAATCCCTCTTTTCGGCGGTGGCCTTCCCGGTAGCCATCGCCTTGCCCCGAGAAGGCGCAGAAGGGCCGGCACCACTTCCCCCAGCCATTGAAAAGACAAGAAAAACCGGGAAGAAAAGAAAATAAGACAGTAAAAAGGAAGTACCTGGTACTCCTCTTCAAAAAATAACCCTAACAACGAAGGGGTTACCGAAAACGGCGACTGAAACGGAGAAAACGGAGACGGAGGGTGGACGAAAACAAGAGAAGCGGCATACGCAAGAAGTTGAAAGAAGAGTAAAATGAAGAAGGCAAAGAGGCACGAGTGAGAGAAAAGAAAGTCTTCACCCAACAATTCAAAACGGTCGCGCCACGTGTCAACTCAAGGGCACGCCTGACAGCACAATTAATTGCAAATTCATCATTGCATAACCGTCATTTCCCGTGGCACGTCACTTGCGCGTTCCTGGGGAATGAACGGCCGCGACACATGTGAAAAGCCACTTTCCCCAACAAGCCCGGCATTAACTCCTCGACCAACGGTCTTCGGAGCTCGGGGGGCTAGTGTACTGTCCGTACCGCGAAACTGAGCTCCAAGCTCGGCATCACAGTGCAAGATGATCTCGGGCACGCGTCATACGGCGTCAGCTCGACATTCAGGTGAATCACAACTGATTCCCGAGAATCTCACCCATACGAGATCCATTATCTAATCACGGATTACCGAAGATCTCGCCCCAGACGAGATCCGCTATCATATCTTATCTCAGGCCCAGAGCCCAAAGCAACCCTAATTCACTCCAAGGTACATGCATTACTTATATGAGACTATGACTCATACAAACCCTAACTTTGGCATCGGAGTCTCTTTTGCAGGTACCACCCCCATCTTGGAGCACCAGTGTACCAGCGAAGGAGGCTCACCGACCTTACTCGGAAGATCGTCCACACGACAAATTCCGGTAAGAACACCTAGTAATCTTGAATTTAGGAAGTCCCAGTCTCGCCCATTGTGTTCATCAGATGTATCTTGCGTGGCTTAGCTATCCCGACGAGACTCTGGTAGTATGTCTTTCTAGTGAGAGTGCGTAGAGGGTGTGACCCGGCATGTACTCCTAGACTACTCTTCGTGTATTGCTAGCGGCAATATGCCATGTGATATGTTACTGGCGCCACATGCATGATAAAATGTAGTCCGTGTCCATACATGTGCATTTTAATGTTATATGAAAAATTGATATGTCTTGGATGAGTGAGATATGATATTACTATTAATTTATCTATGTTATACTTGTTTTATTTGTGTTTGGCTATCTGGTGTATATTCCTACACTGTGAGCCGAGTGAGATGTTTCTCACTCCCTTTTCTTTGTGTTGCTTTCCTTTGACCGTTATACAGGTGATTATCAGCATGAGGTTGAGGATGTTGGTGATGAAGCTTAGGCTTCTATGTGGGCTTTGCTCTAATAGGACATGTGATATCAGGGCATAGATAATATTAGATTAGGGTGTTATTTCTATTAAATTATTTTGGAAGCTTTAGTTTTATTTCTTTGTAATCTGATGGAATGATAATAGAAACATGTCGTCGAGCTAGGACTCCCAAATAGCTCTTAAACATGGCAGCATTTGGGCGTGACGCCTTGCTAGAACGAGGATCCACCTCAACCAGTGTCCTCTCCTTGGCAATGCGCCCAGCTGTCACCCCAGAAAATTGGGTGAAAGATCTACCTTCCCCCCTTCCCCTGCCAGACCCTGAATCCTCCATAATCTTGAAAAAATTAAACTCTCATTATTAAAACAACGAATTAACTGAATAGACAAATAAAGTAAAAAAGACAATAACAATATAACAACAAAAAAATAATAAAAAAAACAAATAATACACAAACAAGAACCTAAGATTAATGCCTAAAAAGTCCTTCTTTAATGCATCTGGAACGGCCTGTACTGAAACCAGAACGGGCCGTTCCAGATACACAATTAACACAGATTTATGCGTCTAGAACGGCCCGTTCTAAAATCAGAACGGCTCGTTCCAGATGCAATACTTCTGTGTTAATTGTTTATCTGAAATGGCCCGTTCAGGTTTCGGAACGGCCCGTTCTAGATCAACAATTAACAAACAAAACAATAAAGCAAAACGGCTCGTTCTGGTTGAAGAACGGGCCGTTCTAGATGAACATTCAACTGAAAATGAAGAAAAAATTGCGTAGAGAATAAGAGAAGAACTAACCTCAAACGTGCAATATGAAGACTCCTAAAGACTTAGAAACGTGTAATGTGCAAACAAAGGCGTATAGAATAAGAGAAGAATGTTTTGAAAACAATGGCGCGCGGGAGAAGATACTGAAAGGTTAGGGAATATAAGCACTCATTTACGTCGGACAGGAGGGGGTCCGACGTAAATTATACAATCTACGTCGGACAGAATTACCCTCCGACGTAGAATGTATAATTTACGTCGGACCCCCATTTGTCCGACGTAAATGAGTTAGCTTTTATTTACGACAATATCACCGCGTATTTTTAACGTCGTATTTTGGGTTTTCTGACGTAAATGGGGTGACGTAAAATCCTATTTTTGTACTAGTGACATCAACGAAAAATTTAATAATATGGTAAAAAGACATATACTTGATTATTTATAGGGATGACAATGGATAGAATATGAGTAGGGTTGTATGATATCTGTTGTTTTATTTGTATTTAAAAATAATATTCATGTAAGAAACGACAATTTCAATCTACATTTTTGTATCAATTAAATACCTAGATATCCATTTCTACACTCGCAATCCGCAATATACTTATATACGAGATTAATAACTATAGGAGAATGAATATTTGAATTCCTAAATTTTATTCTTTTTTATAAATAAACATTACAAATTTTAATTGTAGTGTAAAATATCATTTGCCTCCTTAAAAGTGTATATCGCTAATATTTTATTCTTGAAAAGTAAGAAAAATCTAAATAAATTTTCGATAATTTTAGCTATTTCATTTAAGTACCTAAAAGTAACTATTTATTATCATTTTAGTTCTTAAATACACATTGATATTAATATTTTAGACACATGCTTTATTCAATTTTGAACTAAAGTAAGTAATGTTTTAAATTTTTTAGGACTTTTTTTTTTTGCTGAATTTTTATGTTTTTAGGGATCAAAGTTTCAATGATATATACTTTGAGAAACTCAAATGATGTTTTATCTTTAATTTAATCTCAATTAATCCTTAAATTTTATCTTCATGGAAAATAGACACCATGAATCTTTATTTTGTTATAATTGATCCTTAAATTTTATCTTTTTGTTAGTAAAATAGTCTCGTATAACTTAAGAGGGGACATGAATTAAGTTTTTCAAATTTTCCTCTAATAAAACTTTTTCGAATTACTTTCTTATAAATTCAATTCCTTAGATAAATTTATATGTAAAGAATGAATAATGATGCAAACTACTCAATCAAAATTAATAACAAGTAATTAAAAAGTGTAGAGAAATAAAAATTGCAAACTCAATTTTATACTGGTTCGGCCAATCCTACCTACGGCCAATCCTACCTACGTCCAATCCTCAAGGTTCCTACTTGAGATTTTCACTATTCTTGTAAATCTTACAAGACTTGAATCCTCCAACACCTCGGAACTCTCTTTCCTTGGGTTGAGATTCAAAAACCAACAAGGAGAAAAAAAATTTCTCCCTCACAGATCCAATGATCAATTTAGAATTACAGAATAACTCTCTTTTAAGAGTAGATATACACTTTTATGGTCTTAATGAACTCTTTTAGAATAATGCAAATGAATTTGGCAAGATGTTTTTTGTATATGACTTTTTCATAATAAAGTTCGTAACCTTCTTCCGAAAATTATAGGTATTTATAGACAATTATTTCTTGGGTTGTGTCTTTTCATGAAAAGTTGTAACTCTTTATAATTTTTCAGAAAAGATACTCTGATAATTGATTACAAGACTTGGTAATCGATTACAACGGTTTATAAGTTCAAAATGTTTAAAACGTTGTATCATTTAAATTTAAATTTTTGAAGTTTCAATTAGAATAAAAATTAAAGTTGATGGTGTTTATTTGTAAAAGAAGTAAAGTTTAGAGATTAATTGAAGAAAAATTAAAGTTTATGGTATTTATTTATCAATGAAAAAAAAATTAAAGATTGATAGGATAAAATTAAAGTTTAAATTGCTAATTTGTAAAGAAGTAAAGTTTATAGTGGATGAATACTCTTTTTCTGTTATAATAAATCAATAAAAAAATTAATTAATATAATTGTTACAATTATATTAAAAAAAATTATTCTTAAATAATCCAAACACAATCTTAAAAGTAAACACGCATGATATTAAAAACAAACAAATATAACATTGATTTGTTCAAAATAAAATCATAAATATATTTATTTAAATAAATAATATAATTAGTTTTCATAAATAATATATATTATTTAATTAATTACATTAATACATAACAAGTGCAGAACCGACTAGGTAATATAGTACCCAGATCCATATACTCACACAACTTTATGAGTATATACTCCTTGTACTAAGATTTAAAATTGTAGATAAGTACTCATTTCTCTTACAGATATTTTTGTGGGTATCCATAATGTTCGAGTACAATTTACCATCTCTAATTCTATGGGAAAAGTGGACCATAGTTTTTAACATAAGATAGGAAGATATTATAATATTTATATCTGTTATGAAGGATGAGAGTAATTATCGATTAAAAAATAGAAAAAGGATAATTTAATGCACTAGTTAATTAATAAGATAATAGACTAAAAACATGATGGGAAACAAGAAAACTGTTGGCTTGAATATTAGAAAGAATTCATTTCTTTGAATACATAATAACCTCTAATAAATGCACTAGTTCATTTATTATAATTTCTAAGCTTTTATGAAAAAAACAAAAATAAAAAGAATGAATACTTTTATTCCTTTATGCATTACCCGTATACTTATATAAACAAAAAATGAATGAGTTTCAGCAAATGTCAAAAATCAATACTTAAAGGTTCACGGGAATTTGCAGTTTTCTTCTCTGCTGTCTCCACTTTGGATGCTCATTTCTCCTTGTT